AAGAGAGTCTCTTCAACAAATGGTGCTGGGAAAACTGGACAGCAATATGCAAAAGAATGAAACTGGACCACTTTCTTACACCATACACAAAAATAAATTCAGACTGGATAAAAGACCTAAATGTGAGACAGGAAACCATCAAAATCCTAGAGGAGAACACAGGCAGTAACCTCTCTGACTCTGGCCATAGCAACTTCTTTCTAGATAGGTCTCCTGAGGTCAGGGAAACAAAAGCAAAAATAAATAATTGGGATATCATCAAAATAAAAAGCTTCTGCACAGCAAAGGAAACAATCAACAAAACTAAAAGGCAACCTATGAAATGGGAGATGATGTTTGCAGATGACATATCTGATAAAGAATTAGTATATAAAATCTATAAAGAACTTCTCAAACTCAACATCCAAAAACAAATCATCCCATTAAAAAATGGGCAGAAGACATGAATAGTCATTTCCAAAGAAGACATACAGATGGGCAACAGACACAGAAAAGATGCTTATTAATATCACTCATCAGGGGCGCCTGGGTGGCGCAGTCGGTTAAGCGTCCGACTTCAGCCAGGTCACGATCTCGCGGTCCGTGAGTTCGAGCCCCGCGTCGGGCTCTGGGCTGATGGCTCAGAGCCTGGAGCCTGTTTCTGATTCTGTGTCTCCCTCTCTCTCTGCCCCTCCCCCGTTCATGCTCTGTCTCTCTCTGTCCCAAAAAAATAAATAAACATTAAAAAAAAATTAAAAAAAAAATATATCACTCATCATCAGGGAAACACAAATCAAAAATACAATGAGATATCATCTCATACCAGTCAGAATGGCTAAAATTAACAGAGGAAACAACAGGTGTTGGCAAGGATGCAGTGAAAAAGGAACCCTTGTACACTGTTGGTGGTAATGCAAACTGGTGCAGCCACTGCAGAAAACAGTATGAAGGTTCCTCAAAAAGTTAAAAATAACTACACTACCATCCAGCAATTGTACTAGTAGGTATTTACCCAATGGATACAAAAATACTGATTTGAAGGGATGCATGCATGTTAATGTTTATAGCATCATTATCAACAATAGCCCAAATCTGGAGGAACCCAAATGTCCATAGACTGATAAATGGATAAAGAAGATGTGGGGTGTGTGTGTGTGTATGTGTGTAATATAATACTACTCAGATATTAAAAAAGAATAAAATCTTTGGGCACCTGGGTGGCTCAGTCCATTAAGCGTCTGACTTGATTTTAGTTTCGGTCATGATCTCCCGGTTCATGAGATCGAGCCCCACATCAGCCCAGAGCCTGACTGGGATTCTCTCTCTCCCTCTCTCTCTGCCCTTCCCCTGCTAATGCACTCTCTCTCTCTCTCTCTAATAAATAAATAAACATTAAAAAAAAAGAATAAAAAAATGAAATCTTGCCATTTACAACAGCATAAATGGAGCGAGAGTATTCTGCTAAGCAAAATAAGTCAGTCAGAAAAAGACAAATACGCTATGATTTCACTCATATGTGGAATTTAAGAAACAAAACAAATGAACATAAAGGAAAAAAAAAGAGGAGTGCCTGGGTGGCTCAGTTGGTTAAGTGTCTGATTTGATTTCCGCTCAGATCATGATCTTGGTTCATGGGTTGGAGCCCCACATGGGAGCTCTGCACTGACAGTGTGGAGCCTGCTTGGGATTCTCTCTCAATCTGTGCACCACCCCCACCTCTCAAAATAAATAAATACACTTAAAAGAAAAAAAAAAAACTTGAGGAAAATTCCTAAGTACAAAGTAGAAAAACTAATCTTAAACGATAATACTTCACTCATTCATATGAAAGAGCCCATGGCTTGTTGGCCTTTTGGCTAGGATCAAGGGTAAAATATGAAAGGACTCATAATGGAAGGAGTGTAGGCATAAAGGTTTTCAAATTATGTTCCCAGAGCCTAAAAGGCTCATTTTAGGGAATATAGGGGGTATGTCTAACAGAGAAACTCTTGTATATTTTATTTATTAGGCTTCTGAATAAAATTTTTTTTGCATAGGAATTTTACTCCTAAAAACAGTTTGAAAACCATCACCTGAAAGCCTTATTCAGAGCATTAGCAAGAGAAATGGGGATATTTAGGCTATATAACCAGGCCAGGCAAAAGCTCTTTTTGAAAATAACATTCAACTGTACATGGTAATAAGCATTCTAAAACTGCACACCGTATTTTCATTCTCTCAACTGTACACTGAAAGTAGGAGCAGTAAAGTAAATATATTAGAAATATTCCAGGGTTTTAAGTCAGAAAGTATAAGTTCAAATCGAGGCTCTGTCACTGACTAGCTATGTATTCTTGGTTTATTTAATTAACTTCTCTTAGCCTCAGTATCCTCTTTTGTAAAATAAGAGTTATAATGTCTTATTTTACAGAGCTGTTTTAAGATCAATTAAGATAATATATTTAAAGCACCCAACACAATATCTGACAGACTGAAAGCATTCAATAATAAATGACAACTACTATCATTACTAAAAAAATATTTTGTATCTTAACTTACTTTTAAAAAGTACCCATACAATATATGGCACATAGAAAGCATTCAATAATAAATGGTAGCTGTTATCATTACTAATGAAATTATTCTGTATCTTACTTTAGAGGAAAAAAATTATTCTAATAGATTCACCTATCAACTTTTTAATAAGGGGAAACATGCGAGAAAAATAAAGAATATTCTATTAGTTGGCTCCTCTGTTCATCCTGTGAAATAACATAAAAATGATTTTTTTCCCATCCTCAAGGCACATCATTATGGCTATAATATGGGTACCTGAAAAAGATGTGTGCAATCACAATAGCATTCTTGTGAAATGGTTAGGATACCTGAAAAGCCAATGAATGCTGATATTTTAATTATGCATCTGCTTACATAACAGGCTGGAGAGTAGAAACAGACTGTTTTACTATAAGAAATTTTTAATATAATAAAATCACTCTGCATTTAGGAGTTTTAAATTCTGACCCTTCAACTTATTTATCCCTGTTGTCTTTGGCTTGTGTTGTTTCCTATTCTGAACAGTTCTCTCTCTGCCAGTAAAAATCCTTTCAAGAACAAGCTCAAATCCAATCTTCTCCAAATATCCATGATCATTGCAGAGTAGTCAATCATACTACTGAACATAAAACACATATTATCATTCACACCAACTGGTGTCAAATCCTTTAAAGTTTGGGGCATGTGGGTGGTTCAGGTGGTTAGGCATCCAACTTCGGCTCAGGTCATGATCTCACAGTTCATGAGTTTGAGCCCCACATTGGGCTCTGTGCTGACAGCTCAGAGCCTAGAGCCTGCTTCAGATTCTGTGTCTTCCTCTTTCTGCCCCTTCCGTACTCAACGCTCTGCGTGTGTGTGTCTCTCTCAAAAGTAAATAAACATCAAAAAAAATTTTTTATATATAAAGTTCATAATGCACTTTCATTTTATTTATCTTATTTGTGCCTGAAAAATCCCTGACTAAAGTAGAGTGAGAATTAAAATTATATCTCCTGATGGCTGACTCCAGGCCTGGAAAATAAATGCATTAAAAAAGAAAAATTAAATCTCCATTTTAATAATATGAGAAAACTGAAGTATAAAGACTTGATAAAGACTACAAAAATCTTAAGAACGGCAGTTGAAATCTACATCTTCTTCTTCATCCTACTTACTGTTCAGGCTAAACTCTCTCTGCAACAGAAAACTTACAGGTTGAGCAGGAGTCATTGTCCTTACTCCCAAGAAGTTTCAAAAATTCACTTTTTCTATTAATAAAGTTTCTGTGTTTTAGAAAACCAGACTTAAGACAACAATTTTTCTTCTTCTTTCTTTTGGTTCTTACCTATTGTACTGACTATATTTTTATAAAGCATGTAAGTGACACACCAAGAAATGAATATGAACTCAATATTATCTAAATGAAAAAACATTTTAGGCACTAATATTACAATAAAAAAAATTGGAGGAGAGGAGTGCCTGGGTGGCTCAGTCAGCTGAGCATCCAACTTCGGCTCAAGTCATGATCTAGCGGTTGATAAGTTTTAGCCCCACAACAGGCTCTGTGCTAACAGCTGAGAGCCTGGAGCCTGCTTCGGATTCTGTGTCTCCCTCTCTCTCTGCCCCTCCCCCGCTCATGCTCTGTCTCAAAAATAATCATTAAAAAAATTTTTTTTAAAGTAAGTGTGCTTGTATTTCTGTCTTGCTTTAAAAAAAAACACAACAATGGTTAAGAGGGTTTAGTAGATTCTCCACACTGATTTTTTAGTAAATAATCTAAAACTTCCCCTCAAATCTTACTTGTCTCTATTTAGTCAAATATCTGAAATATACCAAAACTGCTAAGATACAAAGCATAATTGCCTTCATTACAGGGAATTTTCAATTAGATGAAATTCTTTCATAGATTACTAATTTATTTTAGGTTAATGAAGAACTATGTTTTAGTATACAATCTAAGAACTTTAATTCTACTAAACAGAGAAATTTCATATTCCTCCAATGGGCATATACTGAGTACTGGCTATATACAAATTTATTGTACCACTTTATAATAGCATTCTATAATCATATGTAACTACAGTATCTAAAGGCTTTACTGAATAGAAAGACGCTAATCTAATTAGGAAATCAATTGTAACCATATACTTTTTCACACTAGTCATGGAAATTAATACTTCTTTTAACAGAGTATTTATGGTGTCAGAGGACTTCTATAACTTACAGAAATTATTTTATGATTTTTCAGCCCATTTTTAGTGCCAAGTAAGAACATTAGCCAATGTCTTATTAATAAAATGTCTTATTAATAAATAAAAAACAAATAAAAATAAAATGTCTTATTAATAAATAAAATTTTACTTAAAACCATCCAAGGGGGAAAAAAAGTCACCCAAGAAAGGTATTCATGAACTATTAGCGCCATTCTACCTTACAAGAAAGTCAATTACATATGCATATTCATCAAGTTTCTTCTAATAATTTTGTTTAAAAGTGCTAAAACCAACCTGGTATAGAAAGCGTCGGTCCCCCTTGGTAATGTGATGATCCTGTATCCTGGGTCAAATCAAATAGTAACTCTGAAGAATTATTAGATACAACTCGTGATGAGTTTGTTATATAACCCTGTTAAAATATTTCAAAGGAAGAATATTACATTTATTCAACATAGTTACAATTATTTTCTTTCATAAACTTTTCTAAAGGTAAACTTAACTGTATCTCAATATTGTAAGAATAGCTTTTGATGACTCAATTAGTAATTAATAAGTTATAAAACACAAAGGTAATTATTACTGTCAAAATTATCATCTAGTAAAACTGAAAGGAAGCTATTACTTACAGCTGATTTGTTCCTACTAGCGAATTAAAACCGGGCAAATTTTAGTCTGATTTTTTTCAAGATCAAGGAAACATATACTCATTTTAAATCAATAGGATTGATACACTTTAGAGGGCTACTAAAAATGCAGTATTCCTATCAAAGAGCAAACAGTAAAACTTATCAAAATCTTTGGGTAAAAGGAAAACAAATATGAAAACATACTGACATAACTATAAAAGCTTCTGTATCTCTATAAACCCCCCACCCCAAGACAAAATATTAGGGCAAACAAATTAGAAGTCAATCTGTGGTGCTGGGCATCAGGTTTAGGGATGAATATATCACATGGTTTGAGTTTTGTAATCATCCTAATTGGAAAAATTTACAAGGCAAGGGTCAGGAAAAGAAAGAATGGGTGTCCCCCCACCCCCACCCTGCCCCGCCCCACTCTTCCTACCATTCCACAGAAAGCCATGCTAGACCAGGTAATCTTCCATTTCATAGGATAAATATGAAAGCTACATGATCAACAGGGTAAACAAATAAGAAAGCCAGGCAAACAGGGTTTATTTAAAATGGAAACTGTTTATAGGAATAATCTGGGCCAGCTGCTCTGCTCTTGGAAGCTATGGAAACAAGTGTGTAAGTAACTCAAACCACTTCTAAATTTTGAGAAATAACAGGTAAATTATCTTTATTTGGGCCTTAACAATGTAATATAAAAAATCAGTAATGTCATGACTTCACTGTAAAAAAGCACAATCTTATTTCATAATAAATATTTTCTCCCAATTTGCACTTAAAAAATAGAAAATATTCACATGTATTTAACAAAATAGTTCTTTAACAGAAATACAAAGTTAATACTGTTAATACTTTATTAGGAAAACAACTCTGGTTAATTAAGCTCAACAATTTCAGAGGGCAGGCACATAGTATTCAATAATAATTGGTTAAAATAATTCTCCAACAGGGAATTTTTAATGTCTGAAAAAACAGTTCAAAAAGATATCAAATGGAATAGTAAGGGTGGAACAGACACTAGACTGAGATTCAGAAGACTGGCACATTTAACTATGTAACCTTGGGCAAGTCACTTCTGAGCTTCAAGTTATTCACCTATCAAACTGAAATAATGGCCACAATTGTGTTTTAAATGTACTTGTACTTCATGACACATGTATGTATTAAATCAAGTAGTTGTCACATTACTAATAAAAACCTAACGTTATACCCTATTTTATAAATAGGTAAACTAAGTTTAGGAGTGGTTACATAAGGCTTCCCAATACAGCTGCTTGTTGTTGATGTAGCTGTAATTAGAATCGAGGCCTTATTTCCAAGGCTATACCATTAGGCTATATCACACTAACTTTATTATAAGTGATAATAATATATCCCTGCCACCTGCAAGAGATCTCAAAGAGATATTGAGATATAAAGATATTCCATGAAAAAGTGTGCATGCACACACCAAAAAATGAAAAACTGTAATTATAATTTATTAAAAGCAGTGGCTTCTTAACTTCAGAGTAAATTCCCTTAAATAGAGGGGTCTCAATTCATTCCAGAATATATGACATTCTTAACTTTGCAAATTAGAATCACTTGGAGAGTTTTTTACAATATTTCATCTGTAGGACCCACACAGACCAACTGGCACAATCTCTCCTTTTAAGAACTTACAAGATTGGGAAACACCAACTGAGGTGTTTTGATTTTAAAACTATGCCCAGAGAAATAAATATTCTCAGCTAGAAAAAGCTCTAGTTTCTAACTTTTATAACACTAACGTACAACCCTTCCTTTTGTTTTTCTTTCTTCTTCCTGGGTCCAAGTCAGAAAGATTTTTTATCAAACTGAATTAAATAACAAAGTTTCTTTTTCCAGTTTTCTATCCTGCAAAAGCCAACAACTTATGGAAAGTATACTGAGTTGACAACTTATAGAAAGTATACTGAGTTAATGTGATCCAACTAATACATTTCAAGTAGCTTTCCAACTTTTGAAATCCCAGAAATAACCTGCATAACCTTAGGATCCAAGATAGAGTCAGTGGTCTGGGTAAAATCTCTCACTTTAGAAATTAAGAAAATGAGGCTCAAAGAGGTTTTGACAATGCTAAGGAGCAAGGTTGAACCAGCATTCAAGTCTCTTGCTTCAATCTAAGTTTTTTAACTTAGAGCTGATACCACTATGAGTTATTATTTCAGATAATAATTATCTCAAGTCATTAACAACTCAGGGAACAGAAACATTTGCCCAACGATATTCTTATTTTTTTATGATATATAACCTCTTCAAAATATAAGTGGGAGTTCAATTTACTTAGCCATAGATTTAAAAATCTACAGCCTTCCTTTTCATTTTTACATAAATTACAATTAAAATCACTTTTATGAAAAATAAAACCTCAGAATATCAATTTTAGTGCTAACAGATCTGCAGATTACCTAATAGTAATATGAAATACAGAAAAAATATATTATTCCTCACAAAAGTATTTGGATTCAGTTCTGGTTTTGAACTTGGACATCTGCAAGAAAATTTATAGGTGCTTTGGAAGTTTCCCTTATTGTCAAAAGAATAAACATTTTCATTAAAATTTATTATTTCTCTAAGGCCAGTGCCAAATAGCTTATGATAGATATACATGAAAAAAGCACTGAGTTAATTCAATTCCAACTAATAGCAAAGAACCTTTACATTTTGGGTAACCTTTTGTTTTAGTACTCTAACTCCTTGGTTTCAGGACCCCTTTAACACATTTAAAAATTACTGAGGGCCCAAAAGGTTTTATTTAGTTGGGTTATATCTATTGATATTTATAATATTAGACATTAAATATTTATTTTAAATAACAATAAACCCATTATAGATTAACATAAATAACATTTTTATGAAAAGTGACTATCTTACAACACATAAAAAATTAGTGAAAAGAATGGCACTGTTATACATTTCTGAAAATCTTTTTAATGTCTGGCTTAATCAAAAACAGTTACAGATTCATATCTGCTTCTGTTTTCTATCTGTTAGAGTATGTTATTTTATTTGAAAAATATAGAGAAAATCTGGCTTCATAAAGATATATAGTTGAAAAAGGGAGTATTTTAATAGCAAGCTGGGATAACTATGGGTACACTTCTTTGATACCACACCAAAATTCAACATTGATATTTTCTTAAAGATTTACTGCAATGTGGAATCTGACTCCTTATCACTGAATTTTTTGTACTTTGTTAAAATAAAATCTATTAGTCTATCTTACACTTTGAATGATCTTTTACCCATGCATGATTTTATAATATCATGCACTGGTTATTTCAAAAATACTGGTTTCTGTGAATTATGATTATCTTCCAAATGTTAACAGAATTCACTATACAATAACAAAAAATCACATTTATTAACTGTACCACCCATCAGAAAAGTCTTTAAGTACTGGGAAGCTGTCAGATCATAGTGGCTGATACAAGTTTTCCAAAATTCTAATTTGTGCTTGAAAGCTCAATTTTATTATTGGGAAGAAATGCTATCAGTTATTTTCCTTTAAGTGTGCACTTTGTTCAGTTTTGAGGAAATGTCTACCAAATAACCAAAACTGAAAAACTCACAATGTGCAGCAAACAAACTCTCAAGTGGCCTTTACAATCCCCACCCCATGGTGTTCATGTCCTGCATGATTCCCTTCCTTTTAGTGTGGGCAAGGCATGTGACTTGCTTCTCACCAAGAGAATACAACAAAGGTGACAGGATTACATGATTTTGTGTATGTGATTACATTACATTAGATCAGCATGGCATTCTGCTACATATTCTCTTTCGTGGGCTTTGAGCATGTAAGAAGCCAAACTGGGAAAACTCAGGTGGCAAAGCCAGCCAAAAGCCAGTCATTTAGTGAGATTCTCAGTCTGACAACCCTTAAGAAACTGAATGCTGCCAACTACCATGAGAACTTGGAAGCAGATACGTCTCCAGTCAAGCTTCAGATGAGATCACAACCTCAGTGTCCACACCCTGAAAGTAGCTTCATGAGAACCTGAAGCAGAGGATCCAGCTAAGTCATGACCTGACTCCTAACCCACAGAAACTGTGAGACAATGTGTGTGGTTTTACACCATGAAGACTGTGATATTACTGATACACAAAAATAAATAATATACTATGGCTTGTCGTGCTTTCAAGTAAAAGTAGTCTTCTATTTTTTAGAAAGTGGGTAGTTTAGCTCACAACTGAATCACATAAGTGCTTTTCCTTAAGATAATCATCAAACTTTGGAAACAATAGTGTTTTCGCATACTATTTCATCACACAAAATATTTTTAAAAGACACATAGAAAGGTAGAGATTTAACAAAATTAATAACATTTCATCAAGGAAATTGAGCATGAATATTTTTTATTGGGAGTGCACAGTGGGGATGAATATAAAAAGTACTCATACAGCTTGGTACCACTGTCTTGATTTATACTAAGGCACCAGCAGTTTACCCACCATTACTTCTGCATCATTGGTGCATATGTCAACACAGTAGAAAAGGCAAATCATGGGGGCGCCTGGGTGGCGCAGTCGGTTAAGCGTCCGACTTCAGCCAGGTCACGATCTCGCGGTCCGTGAGTTCGAGCCCCGCATCAGGCTCTGGGCTGATGGCTCAGAGCCTGGAGCCTGTTTCCGATTCTGTGTCTCCCTCTCTCTCTGCCCCTCCCCCGTTCATGCTCTGTCTCTCTCTGTCCCAAAAATAAATAAACGTTGAAAAAAAAAATTTTTTTTAAATAAAAAAAGAAAAAAAAAAGAAAAGGCAAATCATGTCTTTGTATTATCATGAGAATAGTCTTGACTCTCAAAACCCATGGAAGAGTCTCAGAGGAACCCCAGGGACTGAAGACTATACTTTGAAAACTGCTACAGTAAGGCAATGGCTCCATTTTAAGTATATATTAAGTATACACACATACACACACGCACATACCTATATGTACATATGTATACAAATACATAGAAACTATGGGTTAGTCTGGATTGAAATTCTAGATCTATCATTTGCCATCTGTGTGACCTTAAATGAATTATTTAACCTCTGTGAGCCTCAATTTCCTCAACTATAAAACAGGAAAAATAATAATAGTGCCTCTTCACAGGGTCGTTTAAGACTTAAATGATTAATTTATGTATAGCATTTACAACAAAGCCTCATAAATATTACAAATATTAACTATTACCATTAACTATTACTTTTTGTTAAGAATTTTTTAAGTGAACTAAATTATGAAGGTATATTTTCAGAATAAAAAGCTACAATGTCCTCTCATAAGTTTTCCAATTAAGAACTAAGAACATTTGACCCAGTTTACAATTTTTGCCATTATGCAATATTCGTAATACTTTTATTCATGTTTTGTTATCGCAAATTCCAATATCTTACTATTTAAGTGTGTTACCTGATTTAGGAACAGACTACATCAGTAGTTCCTTCCAATATTACTCCGGATACTGGCTCATCTATCATATAGATAGTGACATTCCTGATGCTGATTATGCTTCTATTGGATGACTACCCACGACAATGCAGAATTTTAATTGGCATTGTTTATACTGTTAATAATATCCAATGTATCCCTGAGCTGTGTAGTTTTAGAAACACTTACAGGTTTAGACAAAGGCTGAACAATAACAGAACTATCTGAAGATCTAGATTCAGGATGAAAATTTACAGGCGAGGCAGCTACTGGATTTGATGCTGGGTTCGTGTAGTGTTGATTTGTAGGCTTGAATGCAGCAGTAATACCTGTATTTTAAAATTAAACAGTGCATTGAATATATTTAGATATAATCAATGATGTCAAAATACTTCACTTTAAAATAAAATACTAAAATAATACTGTACCTCGACTGAGCGCACCATTCTTTATTCCCCTTGAATATGAGCTTGGGTTTACTCTATTCAAAATATCTACAAAAAATTACAGTGATTTTAAAATTCATTATTTGAATAAAACAGAAATCATGAACTGAAACAATCAAATAGATTCCCAGAAGAAGTATATAAGTTATCACTGATTTAAGAATACAGTTAATTTGGGGGTACCTGGTGACTCAGTTGGTTAAGTGTCCAACTTTAGCTCAGGTGATGATCTCATCAGTCCTGAGTTCCAGCCCTACATCAGGCTCTGTGTTGACAGCTCAGAGCCTGGAGACCATTTTGGATTCTGTGTCTCCCTCTCTGTCTGCCCCTCGCCCAGTTGTGCTCTGTCTCTCAAAAATTTTTGTCTCGGGGCACCTGGGTGGCTCAGTCGGTTAAGGGGCCGACTTCGGCTCAGGTCATGATCTCATGGTCCGTGAGTTCGAGTCCCACATCGGGCTCTGTGCAGACAGCTCAGAGACTGGAGCCTGTTTCAGATTCTGTGTCTCCCTCTCTCTCTGCCCCTCCCCTGTTCATGCTCTGTCTCTCTCTGTCTCAAAAATAAATAAATGTTAAAAAAATTAAAAAAAAAATGTTTGTCTCTCAAAAATAAACATTAAAAAATATATATGATTAATTTTAACGTTTTTTATTTATTTTTGGGACAGAGAGAGACAGAGCATGAACGGGGGAGGGGCAGAGAGAGAGGGAGACACAGAATCGGAAACAGGCTGCAGGCTCCGAGCCATCAGCCCAGAGCCTGACGCGGGGCTCAAACTCACGGACCGCGAGATCGTGACCCGGCTGAAGTCGGACGCTTAACCGACTGCGCCACCCAGGCGCCCCTATATGATTAATTTTAAACATATAGATCTTTATCTACCAAAGAAACAAGATTACTAGCCTTGTTTTATAGAATAAGAATAAACTTTCTAATTGTAACTCAAAATCTAAAAGCCAGAAGTAAAAGATTAATAAATCTGACTACATATAAGTCAAACTTCCTAAAGTTTCTTTCATGGTAAAGAAAAGGTCCACATAATAAAAATCTTCCAAAAATATATGTATATGCAGTCTATAATTAGCATAGGTATCTTTCTTTGAGTGATGACTCAGGATCCTACCACTCAAAATCAAACCTTATCCAACCTCCATATCCCACTCACACCTCTAGAAGCCTTGGAAGTGTTATTATAAGGGATCTCATTGGATTATCTGTAGCATTACTTTTGAGTTGTTTTTTTTTCAATGTATTTATTTTGAGAGAGACAGAGAAAGCCCAAGCTGGGGAGGGACATAGAGAGAATCCCAAGCAGGCTCCACGTTCAAAGCGGAGCCTGACACAGGGCTCGATCTCACAACCGTGAGATCATGTCTGAGCCAAAATCAAGAGTCAGACACTTAACTGACTGAGACACCCAGCTGCCCCTACTCTGAAGAATTCTGAAAGGGAAAAACTAGCAGAGATTGCAGACTAAAACAACTTACAGTTTATCAGGGTATCTTATAACTTAAGGGGTTTCAAATCTACCAGTATACCTGAAGTCAATCTGAGCCTAATTTAACTTTCAGGATCCCTTGAAAGTTCCTGATTCTGACATGTGTGTTACCTCTGTAACTTCTAGATTTTTTGGTAATCAAGCTAAAATTGGAAGAGTGGGGATTTGCCAAAACCTGCTGGTCAGGAAAAGGTAAAAGCACAAACAGTACCAAACCTCATAAAAATTTCCTTTCTACCTCACAGTAAAAATAGAACCAGATCACATAAAATAACTCTATAAAGTAAAGGCCACACAAAAGTAGAGTTGTTTTCTGATAATGGCAATGCAGTACTGTATATCTAAGCACTACAAATGTCTTACAGAATAAAAACCTGTTCAAACAACCTGACACCATTTTCATTCAGAAATTTAAGATTAAGTATTACTCCAACCATCAAAGAACTATTGGCTGAAGTACTTTTTAGTGGCTGTATTCTACAAAACACAAGTTTGTACCCTCCTACCTAGCAGTTCTATATAAACACTTGACTCATATTCCACATACTAAAATATTTTATGGCTTATACCTTAACAACAATAAATTCATTTAAATTCTGCATTTTAACAGTCCAGAAGAGAATTTCTACTGGGGTCAATCTCCTTTTGGAAAGAATTATTCTAAAACTAATATACATTGTTCTAGTTGAATACTGTTATCAGTCATCCCTAATTGGTATAAATTCAACCTGACCTTAACCGTCATGTTTTCACTAACAGAATTTGAGTTACTATTTTATAATATGGTAATATTCCAAGGAACTTATGTCCTTATAAAGCAGTTCACAAATTTTCCCATTAGAAACAATATTTTATAAAACTTGGCTTCACTAAAAGTAAATGCTTACTTGAAATTGCTGGTTTTGAACTTGATATCTCTCCAACAAAGATTGGCTCATCATCATCATCATCCTCAACCTCTTTTACTTTCTTCTGCCATGGTTCCAACTCTTCTTCTTCACATTCCATAAAGAGTTCTGCCATTTTTGAATTATCTAATTTCCAAAAGGAGAGAAGCAAACCTTATTTTCAAAAAGAAAAATACACTTTTAAAAATTCATAGTATATTTAAAATCTACTTTAATCATCCTAATAGCAATGTGACTTGATATTTGTAGACAGTGCATGGCAGCAAGTGAGAAACTCAGAGCTCACTCTCTAAGATACAAACCAATTTAGACAGATAATGGTTGACAGTAGTAGTTATTTAATGGAAAAGTCAAAATGAGTTCTAGTCATATGCCTGGAATATAATTTTATCTACAAAAGGACTGTACCTAACCATTATCGGGAGGAGGGGGGGGATATTAACAAATGGGAAATAAACTAAGACTAGGAGGCATCTCCTGGGAGATATACTTAGTAAAACTAAACCAAATTCAGGAATTCTAGACACACAGCAGTGATGAGATGCTAGACTGAAATAAGGGAACAAGGTGAGACTTATTCCATTCGGGGCAAATTAGACCATTTCTCACCTAAAGAAAGAGACCAAAGAACATGCAGTAAATATGAACATACACCATCCTAGAAGTTCTGACAAAGAACAGAACTCCTACGAAGCATTTTAATACTTCACTCTTAAATATTAATGGACAATCAATAAGCACCAGAAAGTTTAGGAAAATCTCCTGTCTTTTAGAACAAATCAATAAAAAAGATAAAGAATCCTAAGGAAAAGAAATAATGCAGAGAGCAAGAAAAATATTAAAGAAAATACAATTTGCATCTTTAGAGATATTAGATAAGAAAGAATGTTATAAAAAGTAATATTCACAAAACAAAAAATAAGATTAAAAATATGATAGGAACTCCTGGGTGGGTCAGTCGGTTAGGCATTCCACTCTCGATTTCGGCTCTGGTCATGATCTAGCAGTTCCTGGGATTGAGCCCTGAGCTGGACTTTGCACTCATGACCTGCGCGGAAATCAAGAGATGGACGCTTAACCAACTGAGCCATGCAAGCGTCCCTGGACTATCTGACTTTTTAAACTATCTGCATATATTGATTGCTTTAAGCTAAGATGGAGAAAAAAGAAGAGGAGGAAGAGGGGAAGAAGGGAAAGAAGAGAAACAGTACTGAAGGCCTAAACTTATATCCCAACTAGATATAAGTGGTGCTTAAATGATACACAGAATGAGATGGGTGGTGGTCTACAAAACAAACAAACAAAAAAACCCTCCAGGGTTCTGGCTTTGACAATAATATATTTCATTTATCATTTAAATATAGTCATTTCTAAAGGTAATTTTTTATTATATTAAAGTAATGCCACTTCTACTTTTGACTCAAAATTAGGATAATGTTCTACCAGGTCTTAAAACATACTAACTGAAACAATTCTTTGATGGCATACAAAAGAAATACCTTATCAAATTAAAAACCATTATTTTATAAATTTTTAAATTTTTTCCTTTCTATAAAAGTATGTCACAAATCATTTCCTGTCTTAACATTATTTAAATGTTAATAGTCCACCTACCAAAAAAAAGAAGACCTTTCCATTTTCCCAAAAGTCATAAACATATTAATTGATCCCTTTATTTTCTAAACTATAATGTTTTATTAACTACATAGAGTTCTTCAAGTAAAGTAACTAAAAATATTACTATATGTCCAAGACCAAACTGAACTCTTTTGAGTGTATTTCTCTACACACTAGACAGGCAGTAAGCACATAGTATATAATAATCTATGGCTAGGAAACTAAGTGAAGTTAGGCAATGCCTAGCTTTTAAACTTGCCTAGGGAAACTTGTAAATGGATAATAAAAGTTTCCAGTTAGTATATGTTATGGGCTAAATTGTGTTTCTCTAATATTCATGCATTAAAGTCCTCACCATCAGTACCTCACAATCTTAATGTGTTTGGAGACAGGGTCTTTAAGAGATAATGAGATGAAAATGAAGTTATCAGGGTGGGTGCTAATCCAGTATGACTGATGTCCTTAAAAGAAGAGATCATGAGGCGCCTGGGTGGCTTAGTCGGTTAAGCGGCCAACTTCGGCTCAGGTCATGATTTCACGGTCCGTGAGTTCGAGCCCCGCGTCAGGCTCTGTGCTGACAGAGCCTGGAGCCTGTTTCAGACTCTGTGTGCCCCCTCTCTGACCCCCCCCCCCGTTCATGCTCTGTCTCTCTCTGTCTCAAAAATAAATAAACGTTTAAAAAAAAAAAAGAAGAAGAGATCAGGACACGGATGAAGGACATGCTTAAAGGTAAAACCATCCAAAGACACAGGAAGCATATGGCCATCTCTAAGCCAAGGAGAGAGACGTGATACAGATCCTTCCCTTATGGCCCTCAAAAGGAATCAAACCTGCCAACACCTTGAACTTGTACTTCTAGACCCTAGAACTGTGAGAAATTCTGAAATAAAGTTCTGTTGTTTAAGCCATCCAGTCTATGATACTTCATTATGGAAGCCCAAGCAAACTAATACAGAAGACAAAGATCTCGTTCATTCTTCTTAACAGGGTAATGCCATTGTCAATACATTCAGGATACATTGTTGAGAAAACAATTTTTTAAGACACATAACATCTTTACATTTTTATAAATAATTATATTTTTGTCTATGCATAGAAAAAATACAGGTAATTATATACACCAAACTAGCAGTTATCACTGAGCGTAAGAAAAAAACTTCATTTCTACTTTACTCACGTTTTAATTTACATCATTTTTTATGTGAGCATGTTACTCCAATAAATTTATGTTTTTCTGTCTTTAAGAAAGTGTGCCTACCCTTCCTTCTTTCTACTGAAGCAAATTTATCAGTACAAAAGCCACATATACTACTATCAGTCGTGGCAGCAACACTTACTTTTTGGCTGAAAAGGGTTGTCGCCCATCAAGTTGCAGAGTTGACTTTCTGTAAATTGTCACCTGAGTACTGACACATGATATCAGTCAATTTTATGAGTCACTTTAATGCCAAATATTGAAACATGAAACTTGGGGTTCAGAAATTCTTGGATCTAATTTTGATCTCAAAACTCACCATGTGATTCCAGACAAGACAGCAATTTGTATTTGTTTTCCTTCCTATAAAATAAAGATACCTAGTATTAGAGTGGATCTCATTAAGTGTACACATATTTAATCTTTTTTCCTATAAAAAGCTCAATTTTTAAGTTCGATATGTCTGACTTTTACTTACAACTCACTTTACATAATTGGTTCATTCAAAAATTTAGTAATAAAAATGGTAATTCTCTTAAGTACTTACTACTTGAAAAAGTCTGAATTATTAAAAATAATTTTTTAATCTTTTTGTAAAAATGAGTAATCACCTCATAATGTATTGTTTTAGTAAGTCTGAATTTTGAAATGCTAAGTGATACTAATCTTTAACTGTTACTTATTCATGTTTCAGGTATAAGTGTAATTACTTCCATAAGAAAACATAACTTTAAATAAATTGTATTTTTCTTATTTTTTACCAAAGAATTTAAAAAGAAAGAAATTAATTAGATATATTTCAGTGTAGATTAATTCATCCAAAAATAACTACTCATTGGGGCACCTGGCTGGGTCAGTCACAAGAGCATGTGACCCTTGATCTCAGGGTTGTGGGTTCAAGCCCCAAGTTGGATGTAGAGATTACTTAAAAAAATAAATAAACTTGGGGCGCCTGGGTGGCTCAGTCGGTTAAGCGTCCAACTTCAGCTCGGGTCATGATCTCATGGTTCGTGGGTTTGAGCCCCACATCGGGCTCTGTGCTGACAGCTCAGAGCCTGGAGCCTGTTTCAGATTCTGTGTCTCCCTCTCTCTATGCCCCTCCCCAACTCATGTTCTGTCTCCCTCTGTCTCAAAAATAAATAAACATCAAAAAATAAATAAATAAATAAATAAATAAATAAATAAATAAA